TCCTTCTCCAGGCACCAGAAGTCGTCGAATTTTGTGAAATCTGATGCCTGTATACCGCGCTGCAGATGAGAATCTCACTCTATCCTGCTGGCAAACTGGGTTTTGCAGCCGGTGACTGGGCTTATTAGCCGGCGGATTTTGCTATGTGAAATTCCGTCCCAAGCTCATTTGGGCTTAATATGCGGCTGGGCTTATTAACGGTGGGCTTAATAACCGGTGACTACTGTAATATGCTATGGAGGTCCGTCTTCGTCTTGGTCCGTCGTCTGACCGCTGAACCGACTCAAAAAACTCAAACAGAAATCCATAGAGGCCCCTTTTTCTTCCTGGTCGTGCAGAATGTTTCCCACATAAATTGTATGCTCTACCAGTGATGTTGGTTCGGGAGACAAGCCTTAGTTTACTTGCACGTTACGCAGCCGTTAGTGCTACTGTCAGTATACATCCACATGCTGTCTTTCACTTCACATAGTGTAGTTTCCGGTCATCTCCTCCCCTTTTGGTAGAGAAGCTATCTCCTCAATGAATCATTCTGAATTCGAATTGATGTCCTATCCATGGCCCTGACTGTTTCAGAGGTTAAGCCTGTAGCCGCCACCCAATCCTGGTCCAAATAGTGTTTTTGGCGCTGCGCGCCCCCCGATTTCAATGCCTTTTTATGCTCTGATTGTTATCCGTGATTCTAGTTAAAACGCTGCATATATGTTTGCTCTCACTTTATTCTCATACTATCTGCCATTCTGTATTCCTCTACCTGGAACAGGCATGTGCGGTCACTGGGGATGTCTATGGGCAAAAAACCGACCAGACTGATTTGGCCACCATGATCGGTCTTCTGGCCGGTGTGGGCATACCCTCAGGGAGCATCGGCGTGCCACCGGATCGTGCATTGCTTGCCTTTTGGCCACAAGCGCTGGAACGTTTGAGAGTCCTTCTGCAGTTGCAGCAACACCTTCATCGTCTGGTTGAATTCGTGGGGAGAAATTCGGGCCTCATTGTTCCAAATGAAGGTAGGATTGTCCTGCTCATGCAGTTAAAATGGCGAGGGCGGTGTTGATGGTTTTATTTGCATTCTTGTCAGGAAATTCGGGCCATTCTTTGTGTCAAATGTCGGTACTGATTTCTCCCTCCTTCAGCGTATGCAGGTACCATATTAATCTAAATGAAAAGAAAGAAGATCTCCGGAAAATCGAGTTGTATTCGTGAATTTTCGAAAAAGCATCACTTGCTCGTCGTCAGACTAAATGAAAAGTGAGGGCTGGGAATGTCGCACTAGAGGTTTTGGGGACAGAGGTTACTACGAACTGGGATGGGGTTGGAGGGGGGTTACGTTGACGTGAATCCTGCGGCGATAGGTTGTGCAGGTAAGGAGGGAGGGGTTATCATTTGGATTGTGGACCACGTTTTTCGGGAGGAGGGTTCAGAACCGGTTAAGTTCTACTTGAATGAGCACGGACGCCCTGCTTTTGTTTCAGGATGAGCGCAGGTTAGTGGACCAGGCGCGGAAACCAGCAAAGTGTGAATCAAGGTCTACCTGTCTGTTAATACTTGCCGGGCTCGAGTGTAAAGCTTCGAGGAATTCTCTCCCCTGTCTCGTATTAGCCATTGCGATTACCTCGGTGCCATCCCAATTGAAGCAGTGATTATACTCAAGTGACTACGTAAATACGAGTGGTAAGGACTCCCGTCGGCGGACGGCTAACTCATGTTCCTTGATGCGAGTCTCGGAACGTTGGCCTGTGTGGCCAATATAAACACAAGGACAGCCGGCGCACCGTATGCGGTAAATAACGTTACTTAATTGTTTTAAGGGTAGGGCGTCCTTTACTCGACATTGGGTTGTGCACAGTGATGATGCGGGCGTGTGGGCAATTGAGATGCCGAAACAACTTCGTTATCGAGAGGTGGTCTCAGATATTCCATTCATGTAAGGAGAGAATATGTATAAACCGAGAAGGAAGCAGCCAGCCAACGGCCTAGCTCGATTTCAGGGTGGCCTTTATTTTTGCTGACGTAATCACATGAAGAGGAAGAGTCCAGGCAGATAGTGTTGCCAGCAGGGACATAGGAGACTGGAATGACTGTTTCGGACGTACTAAACCCGAGACCCGAACTCGATCAGTGTCTAACGCTCTAACCGCTGAGACACCATTACGTTGTGTTTGCCGGGTTAAGTCGAGAGATATTAACACTCGTTGATAAACATTGACCGACCGCTAACGGACTACTGGACAAGAATACTAGTCATGCAGTGGCAACTGTCAGGGGTCAAAAAATGAGCCCCATGACAGAGCGGAAAGAGTGAGTTTCGCTGTCGGTCGGTGAACGATCATTGACGAGGGGAATAGTCCGTAAACAATAGCAAAGATGGTTGTTTTCCTCCCTGTTTCGTTTACTGTGACCAATATTTATTAGGTCTGAAGTTTCGAAAACATGAGCATCCACATTCGAAGACTGAAGGAACGGCTACTTCATCCTTCGTTGGACCAGTGGGGTATGAGTGTTAGGAGCAGACAGCGTTGACTACCGTTCTGCATTTACATCTGAAGTTTTAGGTGTAAAAGAGAACGGGGGAAGCTCATCAGCTATTGAGCACGTAAGACGAAGCATTGTAAAAATATGACCCTTTTCTGCGCATGTCTCCCACTTTTCTACTATTACCTATGATTTAGGATTCCCGAGGGGATCGGAAACGTCAGAAC